AGCCCTGGGATTACCTATTATGAATTGTGCTAAACATGGGTATGCGCATGCCACTGTGATGTGTCGCTAACTCTTTCAGGAAGATACCTAGAAGGGGAATAGGTTGGTCTAATGGACTTTCTAGTTTTAATTTTTTGAGGAATCTCCATAATCATTTTCATAGGAATTGAACTAGTTTACATACTCACCAACAAAGTAGAAGGGTTTCTTTGTCCCCATGTCCTCACCAGCATTTGTTATTGTTGCTTTCTTGAAGATAGCCTTTCTTTCTGAAGACAGAATCTCAGTGTGGTTTTAATTTGCATTTCTTTAATGGCCAGAGATGTTGAACATTTTTCATATACTTACTGGGCATTTGTACATCATCCTCTGAGAAATGTCTATTCATTTGTTATTGTTGTTGCTGTTTGAGACAAAGTTTAGGCAGACTATGGAGTTCAGGTCAGCCTTGAACTCACCTTGTAGCCTGGGAAGGCCTGGTCAAACTGTTGAAATTACAAAATAACAGAGCCAGAGGAAGACATGGGTCCCAAGAGAACAGTAGTACAAGTTACAGCTGATGTCTCCTCAGAAAGAGCAATGGAGGCTAGAAGGCAATTGTGCCTTTGAAGTGCTAAAAGAAAATAATGATCAACCTAAAGTCTTCCCTAAGCGACACTGTCCTTCAAAGATGATAGTGAAACACAGCTACTTTCTTTTTTTAAAAAAGTAGACAAATTACCATTTTCAAAAAGCATCAAAAAGTGAATGTATTTAACCATACTTGGCTGATAATAGACACCTTTTTTTTTTGGTACTGGGGATCAAACTTGGGACCTTGTGCTTGCGAGGCAGGCACTGGAACCACTGAGCTAAATCCCCAGCCCTATAGGAGGGTGAGTTTTTCTTTGTTTCTTTCTTTGTTTCTTTGTTTCTTTCTTTCTTTCTTTCTTTGTTTTTGGTGCTGGGGATCGAACTCGGGTCCTTGAGCTTGCAAAGCAGGCGGCAGAACTACTGAGCTAAATCCCCGGCCACTTGGCTGACAATAGAGCAAATAGGTGAATGATAATTCACACTATAGCATGTTCAATGAAAACAGAAAATTGGTCTGAAGAAGGCAGAGGAACTTTGTCTTGTAAGAATTAGAACAGAGGGGCTCCATAATCATCTGGTGTCCGGCCGTGGTTGTATCTGTGATTAGAAATGTACTTGATAGGAACTCCAGGGATCTTCCGGATTCCCCGCTTTAGGTCCTGGTCAACCATGGCCACAGTGTAACGCTTGTGCTGAGTTACTGTCTGCCCTAAGCAGTCATCTGCATAGGTCCCTTTATGTGTGCAAGATAATCGTTCAAATCGTGGATCCTTGGTAATCCTTAGAGCCACTTGATGCTTCTGTCTCAATTTCAGCCATTACACAATCAGTTATACAAGGGATACACTTGGCATACAGACAGTCAGTCCATCATCGATTGTACTAAGTCCAATTGAGCTTTTATGGGAAAGCTGATAAAGTTGGTATCAACCAGGATATGATAAGGTGGGCCCAGCTGTGTATTATATTGGAAGAATAAGCAGGAAGGGTGTTGGGGGGGCTTCTCTTTCCTTTAGAGCACTGAGATCTTTCTTTTCTTTCTTTTTAGGTTTTAATCTATCCTTTTCTTCAAGTTCCTCATCTCTGAGACTAAGCATTTGCTTCATGGTGACATACTTTTGTTTCCACATGTTTATGCCAAACTCCAGTTTCTTCACATAGCTACTTTCAAGAAACAAAACTAGGACTTGTCAACCGCAGACCTGTACTCCAATTCTTCAGGAAATCTTTCACACTTCAGAGGAATGACACCAGATGTCACCCAGATCTCCATGAAGGAATGGGGAACACTAGAAACAGTAAATATTTTGTTAACATCTTTCTGTGACATTAAATTATCTCATGAAACATAATTGTGTGGTTTTAAAAATCTTTGCATTACAGGGGGTAGAAGATGGCAGAGTAGAGACTGGCAGTGCAGTGTGGCCTAGGTAGGACCTGAAGTCAGGAAACCTGGAAGACAGCAATTTGGTGAAGAGAAGGAAAGAGGAAATTCTTTGGGAATTGGAAGGGAGCTGATGGGAAGGCTGGTAATTGCGGAGAAGCTGGAGAGGTAGGGCACAGTACAGAGAAAGGAATGAGGCATTTTGGAGGACTCACTCTGGCTCCCAGGGAGGGGGCTCTGCCTCTGCCAATGTGGGGAAAACCCAGAGGGTTGGTGGCTTAGAAAGACAGTGGACTGGGCCAGCATTGCGGGACCCAAGAGAAACCTACATCTATTACAAACTGCAAAAATGGTGTAGTGCTTTACTCTGCAAGTGACTCCTTCCACAAAGCAGGCTGGAGTTGGGGAGGCAGTCCAGTGTGGTATCCACCGTATTCAAGAGGAGCTGTTTTCAGAAGGTGTTAATTGTTTGGACCTGAACTCAGAGCAACTGCAGAGCAGCCATGCTCCAGCGTTTCTAGTGTTGATCTGTCACAGTGATTGGGTCAGAGACAGCCGTGGGAGACAGTGATGGAAAGGATGTGTGCTGGACATAGCCCCCCTGAAAATTTTAAGCTCAGGCCAAGAGGGATACAAGAGCCTCTGCCCTCTGTGGTGAGAAGCCAGGCTGGGCGTGTGTGGTTTCTAGAAGTGGGTGGGTCTGAAAGTGCTTGCATTAAGTCCAGTGGACTGCTTGATCCCCTGCCTTCTGCCTCACTGCCTATGTCAGCACAGAACCCAGCGGTCTCTTTGCTTTTCCCATCTACCAATATGAGCAAGGAAGCAGCTCAGCTCAGATTGTTGCCATGGCCCGGGTTATATGAACAGAGGGGCCTCTAAAGCATGGTAGTAGCTCACAAACCCACAGACTGTAAAGCTAGGCAGAGAAAACCATGACTTTGAGTGCATGGAGGGACATGGAAAGTGGGAACTGATGGAGTGACTACAGCATTAAGGTGGACACTATTGTCTGCCCAAGCCCAGAGAAGAAGGTGAGGCAAGAGCCAACGTTCACACAGAAGGAGGGGAGGCAGCGCCATCTGCTGGAACATGTGGGGACAACAGGCTCTAAGGAGTCTGGCCTTGGCAGTTCAGTGTGTGCGTGCATTTGAGAGACTGTGTGGGTGTGTGACAGTGTCTAAGTCTATGTGTGATTGTGTGCACCTGTGCAACTGTATGCATACATGTGTTGGTCCCTGCACTTGTGCTTCTGGGTGGGTACGTAATTGTGGGCATGTTAGAGGGCGGTGTGTGTTCGTGTATGTATTTGTACACTATGTGGGTGTTTAAATTTGGGCACCTGTGTGAGTGTGTGCTGCAATCACTGAGTGGATGTAACTGTTTATACCAAGGCACACTTATGGTTAAAGTTGCCATCAGAGTCCTCGTCCTTGTCCCCAGGCCTGACCCTGGCAGAGCAGGCAGACGTTCAGGAGAAATACTGCCTTGGGAGCAGCCCTGAGTACTGACGAGATGAAGGGAATCAGTGGACACGCAGGCCGCTCCCTCGCTCTGGGTGGGACGACGTGAGGTGCAGGTCCTGTCCATCTGTGTCCCAGAGCTCCCCAGCAGGACTGAGCCCTGCAAACTGCCTTCATCATGCTCCTTTTAACTTTTGCTTTTTCCTCCCATCTCACCTCCCACCGTGCTTCCTGGGAACTCCATCCCCAAAACACCTTGCAGTTGAATTCTTCTTTTATCCCCATCCAAAAATAAGGAGGAAAAACAACCTAGTATACTTCAAGGACTTAAAACTTTCAGTGACCTAAGAAATGGTGTTGGTGGCCCATACACCCTCTCTAGGCTGCCCGAGTCCCCCAGGAGTGTAGTGGGTGTGCAGTGAGTTCAGCCACTAGGTTGGGTCCAGGACCCAGCCCAGTTTTTTAAACTCTGGCCTTGCCCCTGACCTGTTATAGTTTATCTCTAGATGTCCCCCCAAAGCCTCATGGGGATTTTGGAAGGTGATTGGATCATGGGGGTGTGACAATCATCTGTGGATTAGTCCACTGATGCATTTATAGATGACTTGCTATTAGGATGTGGGCTAAGGTAGGAAGGGATGGGGCACTGGGGGCATGGCCTAAAAGGGGCATTGTGTTTCAGCCACAAGAAAAGTGACTAAGACACCTTGACATGGAAAAACATACCTGGAAGTGTTTTTTAGCCCCGGGTGGTGGTGAGCATTCAGGGGAGAGTTCACATCATCCTACTACCTAACACCTGCATCTTAAAGATAAAAAGGTTTATTTTGGTTCAAAGCTTGTAGAGGTTTCAGTCCAGAGTCAGCTGGCTCCATGGAACGGCAGTATGGGGAGTGGGAAGCAGAGAAAGAGAATATGAGGGGAGGGGCAGGGAAGAGATTCCCTTCCAGAACCTGCTTCCCTGTTTTACCTCCTCCCTACCAGGTCCTACAGCCAGCAGAGCCCAGCCTTCAGATATGTTCTTAAGGGCTGGCTTTTTATTTCTCAGATCTGATCTGAGTTACCTCCAGAGGGGCAGGATTTTTGCTTTGTTCCTGTTTGTAAGAGTCTGAGCTGAATCCAGGCCCAGGGCTCCTAGGAGGTGGGACTTGACTCTGCCCAGCTGTGCAGCTGGTGGTCAGAGGCTTCCATTCCTGAGCCGGATAATTCTGCCAGGGAAATGGTGCATGGTGTCCTCCTAGCCCATGCATGGAGAGGAGCAGGGGAGATGATCTGGGACCAGGCTTGGGGTGTCCCTGATCTCCTGGGACCTTTATTCTTCTGTTTATGCTTCACCTTCTGCACCCTGGTCATACAAGGGCAGGATGCCTGAGTGATTTTGCCCACCCCTCAATCTTGCCCCACCCCTGCTAAATTGGAAAGAGTGAGTGTCCATGCATGCGACTCCAAGCTGGATTGCTTTTGCAGCCAGCTGGCCCTGTTTCCATAGCTTGGGTGCCTGCCTGGGCAGGGTGTAGCCTGCTGGGCCTGGGCGGATTGGCTGGCCATGCCTTGTCTCACCTTGTGTAGATGGGAGGGCTCAGCCAAGGCAAGAATAGCTCCTGGCAGCGAGGGGCCAGGACATTGGTGGTTTCTGGGTCACAAGCCCTAGCTACCTACCTATGATTAAGACAGGTTAGTACTCTAATCTGGTTCCCTCTTCCTTCTCCTTCTTTTCATTGTTCCTCTTCTCCTCTTCTTTCTCTTCTTCCCCATCCACCTCTTGCTCCTTCTCTCATACTTCTCCTTCCCTTCCTTTTCCTCTTCGTCCTCCTCCTATTTCTCCTCCTTTGCCTTTCCCTTCTCCTTCCACCTTTTCAGTGTGTCTTCCTCTGTATTGCCCTTCCTCTGTATTCTCCCTCCTAGTCCCTGCCCTTCTAAATCTCCAGGTTCCTGCCCCTCTCCAGTGACCCTGGAGTTTTCTGTCTCCTTCCTGGGCCTCAGAAATTCCTCATCTGTCCCCTCTGCCCTGCAGGATGACACAGCTGAGCATGTTCTGGCTGGGACTGGGGCCAGTGACAGCCTCCCTTTGGCTGCTCCCAATGCTGTTTGGGATCTTCTGGCTCCTGACTCGAATTTTGGTCCAGACCTATGCTTTCTATGAAAATGTTCAGCATCTCCAATGTTTCCCTCAGCCCCCCAAACGGAATTGGTTCTTGGGTCACTTGGGGCAGGTGAGTGTGGCAGCAGCATGGGTGGATTCCTGAGGGGGTCTGGCGGGGAGTCAAGGAGCTGTCACTGCAAGACCTGGAGAAGCCAGGGAAGTGGCTCACTCATTTTTGTGCTGCCACAGAAAGTGACTCGCATATTTTCCACAGACACTCATCCCACGGGTGCTATGGCAAGCCTGTCTCACAACCCTGCCCTCCCATGTCCTCCCATGCACAGTCTGTTTTGGATTATTTTTGGGGGTTCTATTGCTAATACAGCTGCACCTGTCAGGGGCTCCCGGGGTGGGCTCCACAGAGTGAGAACCGCTTTCTCTTCCCCCATTCTCCTTTGCTGGCCTTGCTCCATCCTGAGGGCCCTGTCCAGTGTCTGCTGCCTGCCTGGATCCCGTCTCTGTGTCAGCCCATCTCGGGGTGTTGGTTTTTCATGGGAATTAGCTTTGAATTTCCCGTCTTCAAGACAGAGACACAGCTGTGGCAGAAGACAGGTATGGGCTGACTCCCTGCTGTCCTTCATGGGACAGCTTACTTTTATGTTTCTCTTCCTGTCACACATGCACACACATATGTGCACACACACACTCACATATATGTCTGAAAAATTTGTGGGGGGATTTATTATTATGAGGATTGTCTTATGTAATTTTGCAGACTAAGAAGTCTCATTCTATGTCATCTGCAAGGTGGAGAGCCAGGAAGGTTCGTAGTGTAATTCACTCAGTTTAAATCCAATGGTTGGAATACCCAGGTTTGGGGCAAGGTGGGAACTGTTGGTATAAATCTTGGTGTCTGGAGTCTCAAGGACCTGGGGTTCTAGCATCAAGGGCAGGACAAAGGAATGTGCCACCTCAAGAATGAATTTGTCTTCCCTTTGCCTTGTTTTCTTTTTTTTGAATTTAATTTTTTTTCCTTTGCCTTGTTTTCTATCTGAACCCTCAGTGGATTAGATGATGTGTCCCAGCCTGCACAGGGTGGTTCCTTGGACTATGAATGTCTTCTGAAACACCTTCCCAGATACACCGGGAATCGTGTTTCATCAGCTCTCGGGGGGGGGGGGCCCGTGGCTCAGCCTAGCAGACACCTGAGATGAACCGTATCGGGAGCTGGTCATCAATGTCTTGCATGCAGGAGCCTCCCACGGAGGAGGGTTTGAAGTTTGTGGAGCAGATGGCGCACACCTACCCCCAGGGCTTTGTGATGTGGTTCGGCCCCATCCTCCCCATCATCACTTTGTGCCACCCTGACTCCCTCCGATTTGTCCTCAGTGCCTCAGGTACGCATGTGGTGTTTGTGTTGGACCTGTACGTCACATCTAAAGGCTTCCAGCCCTCCAACCCAGATCTCTGTGCAGCATGTTGGCCCCTCCTCCCCTCCTCTCTCTCAGCTTCTCCCTCTTCTGTGCCCATACTCACCAGCTCCCGTTCCACCATCCCCTTCCTGATTGCTGTCACCCTGCACATACTGTGATCCTGGTGTCCTGAAAGCCCTGGGGCCCCAGGAGGCCTCAATCCAAGGGCATGTCCTGGAGGAATCCCCAGTCTTCATGAGATGGATCTGGCCTGAGACACCCCTGACTTCAGGTGATCTGGAGTGGACCAGAGGGAAATAAGCTTTATGACTGCTCAGTGGTGAAGCAAGGTCTTTGGATGAGGAGCTGCCTGAGGAAGGCTTGTAATGTTGTGGCAAACTGGGAGTCGAAATGATCTTACAGAGACCAGGAGAGTTGGGTAAAATAAGAAAGAAGTTTATTGCCAGGCAATGGCCAGTCTCAGGAAACGAGTCCTTATAGACTGACCACGAGTTAAGAAAGTTTCTCCTTTATATACCTTTTACAGAGTAAGAAGTTCAAGGGGCGGCCACAGAGCTGTGTGGCAAAACAGCAAGGGGCTTTCCATAGCTTCAAGGTTGGGGGCTTACGGAAACAATTTCAAAGCTGGTTGCTAATCTTTCTGGGAACAGGCTTCCCCACAAGGGGAGAGGGCCTACCCAGTGTTTCTGCACAGGAACAAGTGGACCCAGACGGGGCCTCAGCGGTAGCCCATACAAAGCACAAAAACAACATCTTTCTGCTACGTTGTTACTTTAAGCTGGCTTACTGTTCGTGGACAGGTGTGCTACAGTAATTATTCACTCCAAGTCATGTTTGGCAGCACCTTCCACATCAGTAACAGTGATTAGGAATGTTTAGATGAGAGGCAGGTGATGCGGGGACTGGGTAGTGACAGCATCTGAGGACCCTGTGATGTCTGGGGTCATCCCTGTACATCTCCAGGCCCATAGCAATGAGGAGAGCTGGGGGCGGATGTGGATGCTCTTCCCGACACCTGACTTGCTGCTCTGGTTCCTTCTTCAACATCCTGTGACTTGTCTACTTGATGTCCATTGCCCTCCTGCTCGATGTCCCAAGTTGGCCCCTGAGATCCCACGCCAACCTGGCCCACTTCCTCTGCTCTCTACCTTTTCCGTTCTTTAAAAGTTATTAACATCCACGATGGGCAGTAGGTATGTGTACGTGACCATCTTGATTTTTTATATCCCCTTCCCTTCACCCTGTCACAACGTCTCTTAGTTCCTCTAACATTTGACCAAGGTCGATCTCTGTATTCTTTATTGTCTTTTATTTTGCTCTTTGATTTATTTATACTTTGACTTTCTCATGTAAGAGAAACTACACAACTTTTAAGCTTGAGTGTCTGCTTCAATGTGTATCTGTTTGCCTACAAGTGACTTAAGCTTATCCTTCTTTATGGCAGTGTGGTACTTCATTAGGTATAAATACCACATTTTCTTTATCCATTCATCTGTTGTTGGACGTACAGATCATTTCCATTATTTACCTATTAGGTATTGTGCTGCTACAAACATGGCTATGCATGTATCTATATCATATTATGTCTTTAATTGTTGTTTAATATGTCTTTCAGGAAAAAACCTAGAAGGCAAATAGCTGACTCAAATGGAATTTCTGGGACCAGGGATTTAGCTCAGTGACACTGCACCTGCCTCACAAGTGCAAGGTCCTGAGTTTGATCTCCAGTACCAAAGCTCAATTTCAAATGAAATTCTGTTTTAAGCTTTTTGAGGAATCTCTATACTAATTTCCACAATGATTGTGCTAGTTTATACTCCCAGAAAGAACGTAGAACAGTTCCTTTTTCCCAGAGCCTCTCCAGTATTTGCTCTTATTTGATTTTTTTGATCATTGCCATTCTTTTTGCTGTAAGATAAAATTTCAGTGTTGTTTAATTTGCATTCTTTGTTTTTGTTTTTGTTTTTTTGGTACCGGGGATCAAACTCGGGACCTTGTGCTTGAGAGGCAGGCGCCGGAATCACTGAGCTAAATCCCCGGCCCTAATTTGCATTTTTAATGACAAGGAATATCAAACATTTCTAGATGTATTTATTAGCCATTTGTATTTTTCCTTTGAAGACATGTCTATTCATTTCAGTTGTCTATTTTAAATTTTTTCCCTATGAGGATTAATTTTTTGTTATTTGTATATTATAGATATTTATCCCCTGTTTGAGGTTTAGCTGGAAATCTTTTTCCCATTCTGTAGGGTTTTTTTCACTCTGTTGATTGTTTTCTTTGCTGTGTAGAAGCTTTGTAATTTGATATAATACCGTTTGTTGATTCTTAATGTTATTTCTTGTGAAACTGGGATTCTGTTCAGAACGTGCTTGCCTATGTGTATGACTTTAATAGTTTTACATACCTTATCTTCCAGCAGGTTAAGAGTTTCTGCTTTAATATTTAGATATTTGAGCCATTTTCATTTTAGTTTAGTATATGGTGAGAGATATGGGTCTAGCTTCAATCTTCTGTATGTGGATAATCATTTTGGTCCCTTTGTCAAAGATCAGGTGGGTGAAATTGTCTGCAGTTTCTGCATCCTCTATTCTATTCCACTGGTCCATATACTTGTGTTTGTGCCAATACTATGTGGTTTTATCACTGTAGCTTTGTAGTATAACTTGAAATCCAGGATTGTGGTGCCTCCTGCTTGCTCTTGTTATCTAGGATTGCTTCTGCTATTCTCATTCTATTCTGGTTCCATATGAAATTTAGGATTTTTTCCTAGTGCTGTGAGGAATGATGTTGGTATTTTGATTGGGAGTATATTAAATTTATATATCACTTTTGGGAGTATGGCAATTTTGACAATATTCCTTCTGCCTATCCAGGAACAGGGAATTTCTATCCATTTTCTTATTCCTCTTCCATCTCCTTTAACAGAACACTGTAGCTTTCATTGTAGAAGTCTTTCACTTCATCAGGCAGGTTTATTCCTAAGTATGTAAACTTTTGTGCAATTATTGTGAATGTATTATTTTTAAAATTTATTTCTTGGTGGTTGCATTTGTAGTGTGCAGTTTTGTGTTGATTTTTTATCCTACTTCATTGCTGAACCTAGTTTTAACTTCTAAGAATCTGTTGGTGAATTTTTTGAGTCATTTATGTAGGACAGCATGTCGTCTACAAATAATGATAATTTGACTTCTTTCTCTCATATATATTCTTTTTACTATTTTCTTTTGCCTAAGTGTTTTTGGCTAATTGTTTGAGTACTGTATTAAACACAAGTGGCAGTAATGGACATCCTAGTGTTGTTCTTGATTTTAGAAGGAAAGCTTTCTATTTGTCTCCATTTATGTATGTATACATTATTTTGACAGTTTTATGTCATAAATAGCTTTTATTACATTGATGTGGGGTCCATCTGTACTTATTTTCTTCAGTGTTTTAAAAATGATGAATGAATATTGTATTTGTCATAGGCTTTTTCTGCATCTATTGAGATAATCATGTGGTTTGTATTTTTGCTTCTGTTTATATGGGTTACACTTTTTGATTTATGTATGTTGAACCATCTTTGTATCCCTGGGATGAAGTCTATTGATGTTTTTGATGATTGGTGACATTCTGCTTGCCAGTATCCTGTTGAGGACTTTTGTACCTATGTTCGTTAAATGGATTGGTCTGCAACATTTTTTTAATTTAGTGTCTGATTTTGGAGTTGGGGTTATTTTAGCTTCCAGGAATGAGTTTGAAAGCACTCCTTATCTTTCAACTTCATTAAATAATTTGAGAGGTATTGTTGTTGGATCTTCCCCGAAGGTCTTGTAGAATTCAGCAATGCATCTGTTGGGTCCTGGACTTTTTTTTGTGTTGGTAGGTTTTTATATTACTGCATAAATTTCAGTATCTGTTATTGGATTATTCAGCATTTTTATGTCTTTTTGGTTCAGTTTTTTGTTAATTCATATATGTCTAGAGATTTGTCCATTTCTTCAAGATTCTCTAATTTGTTGGGGTATAGTTTTTCATAATAGTTGATAAAGATCTTCTGAACTTTGGTAGTGATTGTTGTTAGGAAAAAAGGGTGAGAAATAGAAAAACCAATAAAAAGGAATTGAGCTCCACAGTTGAGGACAGGTTCTATTGGAATGAATACCCGAGAGGGACCATTGGCACCCAGACCAGAATGGTACCATTCTTTATAGGTTATGAGGGTTTATAGGGTTGTAAGAGAAAGTTGTGGCTATTTTTTTGAGATACAGCTACTTTTGAGGTTGTGCTCACTGGACTGTTATGTTTGTGTTGGTCATTCTTAAGACAGTGCTGAAACTGTGGTTGCTGGGCCTCATCAACCTGGTTCAGCCCATCCTGGGAAAAGGGAATTTAGAGCATGAATCTTAGGGAGGGGAGGGCTTGAAATGGCTGTGACTTGTGACCCAAGATGGCAGTGGTCTTGTTCCTTCAGTGTAGTTTTATTTTTCTTTCTTTCTCTTTCTTTCTTTCTTTCTTTCTTTCTTTCTTTCTTTCTTTCTTTCTTTCTTTCTTTCTTTCTGTTTTGTTTTTTTCCCCCATTAAGTTTATTGGTACATTTTAGGTATGAAATACATTTACATACATCACTGGGATCTTGTACCATTACATGAGTGTCTTGGTTCTTATTTTTTCCCCCTTCACTTGCCCTCCCTTTACCCCCTCCACCCTTCCCTATTTGCAAAGATTTTGTTTCCATTTTTTTCCTCGTTTTGTTTTGTTTTGCTTTTTGAGACAGAGTCTTGCTTTGTAGTTCAGGCTGGCCCTGAACTTACTGTGTAGCCCAGGCTGGCCTCGAACTTGGGGTGATCATTCTGCCTCAGCCTTCCAAGTGCTAGAATGACAGGTGTGTGCTACCATGCCCAGCTCTCCTTCTTCCATTTCTAAAATTTCTTTCCTTCTTTGGTAAGTTGGCTAAGGGTTTGTGTATTTTGTTTATTATT